TACTATATATATATATATATATATATATATATATATATATATATATATTTGCGCGTGCAATGAGGAAGGTAAAGTTGAAACAGCATATTACTCTCATGTTACATCGTAAATTACTATTGCGAGCGAAATGTGATACATGTCAACCCAATTATAAGGATTAAGTACTAGAACTTATTTTAATTTCTAAAGGCTTCCATGAAATTCATTATTTCAGAAACCTCCATACTCATACATCGCACTTATTGCTATGGCAGTTAAGAGCGCACCTGATAAGAAAATCACGCTGAACGGAATTTACCAGTTCATCATGGACAGGTATCTATATAGCGCTTGTATTCGTAGCATTTCAACTCTTGATATTTATGTATACTATGGTATACATAACTTCTAAATGGCTTTGACTAGCTCTTTATTTATATCACATAATTGTTTGCGCATTCTACGGATTTTGGTTCTTGTATGTTCAATTTATTTTTTGGCTTATTTGCAATCCTATATAAACGAATATTTATTCCTTTAATCCTATATTCGTACATTGATTAAAAATTGTATAATATTAATATAGTTGCTTGACAAGCTTTGAATGTTCTACATATTTTACATATTAGACATGGTATTATTAAGAATTAAACAGGGCATGGACATTCTGTGAAAACGATATATGTTTGATTGGTGAGCATTAAATTTGCGACAGGCTTAATTTTATTATAAGAACAGAGAAAATAATGCGAATGCTATCGAAGGACTAAAAATGTAGAATGGTATTAGTGTATAATATAAAACGTATATCATAGTGTTGTGTCACCTAGAAATCAACGTATAGGTAATCGCTTCTATAAATAACCTAATGAAGTTGTCGACTCAAAACAAGAGAAACTATATGAGACCGCGGCACACCAAAACAACACTAGTTAGCCGTATCGTGTTTCTTTTCTCTGATCGCTAGGTTTCCGTACTACCACGATAATAAGCAGGGCTGGCAAAACTCGATCCGGCACAACCTCAGCCTAAACGACTGCTTCGTGAAAGTGGCGCGCGAGAAAGGAAAACCCGGCAAGGGCAATTACTGGACGCTCGACCCCAACAGCGAGGAGATGTTCGAGAACGGAAACTACCGACGCCGGAAGCGACGAGTGAAGGCGACGACGAAGTCAGTCGACAAGGCCGACGCCAAGAACGACAATCCCGACGACAGACGCGACGAATACAAGAGCGGCGACGGCAATGACAACCACAGCGACAGCGACCAACGGGATTCGACCGCCGACGACGAAACGCAGGACGTCGCACTGACGGTGCCGATGTCTTCCGACTTAACGAGTGCGAACGACGTCGACGACGCCGACGACCACACCGACAGAGAGCGTCCTACTAGGGCGGATCTGTGTCGGCTAGAGGTCGCGGGGTTAGGATGCGAAGACAAGGCGCCATGTTTGAGAGCTGCGCAGTCGGATGCGCACGCGAGTCTCACGCACGCCAGCGAGGCGTTTCGACATCAGACGATGACAGGAAAGCGCTCGCTGTTCACAATCGACAGCATTATAAGCAAGAAACTGCGAACGGGCGACGTCGATGACGACATCGACTACGCGAAAAAGCCACGTCATGATGACGCGTTTGCGTCACAGTTGGATGACGTCAGCGTCGGTGTGCCGCGTCCGGATTCCTCTTCGCGTCTGTTATTCCCGTCGCCGACTGCGACGTACGAGAGAACGCTTCTAGCCGGTGCGCAGTCGTCTACGTTTCCATCTTTCGCTGGGCTCAACGCGTTGCCTTCCTACATGCCGTCCGCTCTTCCATCGCCGTATATGCTGCCAAATCCTTTCCGGTACGCATGCGCGGGGTTACCGTACGCTTACGGAGCAGCACAGAGCACGAATCTTGCCGATCACGCTAAAGTGTTTAAAGCTTTTAATGGCCAAACGTAAACCGTGAGCTTTTATCATCAAATACAATATATTCTGTTCGTGATCTCTGACGAGACGCAATAAGCTATAATTGCACGTAGGTGGTTTCTGCTTGTAATATTCACTGTGTAAACGTGATAATTAAGCGAACAGGAAATGGGCTAAGGCTAGTTCATTCACGAATGTGTTGCGCGTGAGAAGTTACACAATTTATAAACGTGTTCTAAAGTGCTAAATTCCAAAATAATTTATTCCTAAATTTCAAATATGAATTAATTAGTTCTATTTAATTCGTAAACATGCAATAACCTTGAAGTATAATCGTTTCTTAACTCATAATAATAGATCACATCATGGATACATCATCGTCTAATGATGTATAGTAACGTTAATGACATTTTATTATTTGTATGTGTTCAATTACTTTATCTTTAAGAAATGTAACTGTCATTAAAACGGTTACTTCCCTCATTTCCACGTTAGTGTTTAATTATCGGGGTATATATCTTGTGACAAAGATGCGGGGACACACACACACACACACACACACACACACACACACACACACACACACACACACACACACACACACACACACACACACACACACACACACACACACACAC